CCAGCTTCAGCTTTCGAGGCCGCGGCCACGTCTCTGTTTCCTGAGTCATGGCTTTCTGCTCCCGTGCTCCTCGCGTGATTCTGGAGCCCCCTTTCTAGGCTACCAGGTTGTGAGTGTAACTTCTTTTCTGTTTTTTCTGAGTGTGAGTTCTTAATTGTTCAGACTCGATTTCTAGCATAAGCGCGAAGGCTGGAACTTTCCACGCCTGGTTCTGCTGTGCAGCTGTCTTTCTGTGCCGGCGTGTAGTATCTTCAGTTTTCAATTCTAAGCGTTAGCATTTTCTGATACTGTTCTCCTGTGACCCATGAGTGATACAGAAGACGTTTTTATTTTCTAAACGTATAGAGCTTTTATATTTCTGACGTCAGCCACCTCATGGGCGGAGGACACGGCATGCGCGGCACCGCGGCTCTGCCTGCGCCTCTGTCCGGTCCGCTCTTCGACCCCGGACGTTCTCCTTGGTTCTTCCCAAATCCGCCTGTCCTGTCGCTTGGTGTCCGTTCTTTCGCACATATTTCAATGTTCTCTTCTGCCTCTGAATGTAATTATTTTACATACCACAGCTAGCGATACGGAAATATCGATAATACCAAGTGGGAGACCACAGTCTGATCCGCCGCTCGTCTGCCGCCGTGGGCCCCGGGAGCTGGCTTCTCACGCGCTCTGTAACTTCGGATCGTGGGCGTCCACCCGAGTGGGCTCCGGGTGTCGGTTCCCGCGAGGCTCCCGGAGCGAGGGCCCCCAGGACAGGCTCTGGTCTGCAACCATTTTAGGTTACTTTCTGGACTCGGAAGGGGCACGTCTGCAGATGTCATTGACAAGAAGGGAAACAACCCCACAAGTAAACCCTGAGATCGAAGAAATCGCTGCTGCTCAGGCGAATCCACACAAGTCCTGCTCAGGGAAACGCCAGTGCAGGCAGAAGGGGTGTCCCGGCTCCGGGCGTGGCGCCTCGGTGACGGAGGGCTGCGTGCGGGGAGCCCTCCGCCAGCCTGGAGCCGCCTCGGATGCCGAGCTCGAGCTCGGAGGGGAAGACCCCGCAGTCCAGCGCCTGGCGCCAGGCGCTCTCACCAGTTGGGGGCGGAATCGCAAAACGGGTCTCGGATTTTGTCCCCAGTGAAGTGAACTTGCTGGCAACTTGTCTTGCGTCCACAGGGCCGAGGTGGCTTCTGCCGTCTCGGACCAGGCGGACCGAGTCACCGCTTAGACAGTCGTCTTCAAATAGCTTTGTTTCGGTAGCTGAAAACCTGCCGTCCACCTGCTGCCCATGGCAGACCGCAGGGGTAAAGAGCGTGAGTTTTAAGCGTGGCTAACGGTAATTAGTTAAGGACTGATTCGGGGGGAAGGTGACTCTTACATCTTTGTGTGTCAAAGTTCAAAACTGGAAAAGCAGTGGAAAGGGCAAGAGGCCTGGGCGTCTCGCGGGTCGTCCCCGGGGCTCCGACCCAGGTTTCTTCTTGCTGGGGGCCTCTCCCCGCCCTCGGGCGGTCACCCCGGCTCTCCGTGTCCCCCCAGTTCTGATTCCTACGCCGCAGCCCCACGCTCTCCGCCACGTCGTCCCTCGCGTCAGACGCCCAGTCTCAGCCCTTTCCCGGGACCCAGAGCCTTCCTCCTGTCTCCCTCGTCTCTGCCACGAAGCCGCCATGCACTGTGTCCACGCCGGACCCCCGGGCCCTGCCCGTGACCGCCTTCCCTCCACGTCCCTCACACCCGTCCCGGCCGGTCACTGGTTGAACCTCGCTGGCTCCGCGTCCCGTGTCGTGTGCTCGCCTCGTGTGGACAGGCCGCGGGGGGGCCTCTGCTCCGTCAGGCTCATCCCTGCAGCCCAGATCCGGTCCCCCACCCCCTGCTCTGACCCCCGCGGGCGCCCCCCCCTTCCTCGCGCTCCGTGCTCCCGCCACAGTGGTCATTAGGCGCCTGCACCGGGCCGGGTCTGTCCTGCGCCTTTACACGCCTGTGTCTGGAACGCTCTGCCCCTTCGCCTGATTAGTCCCTACTCATCCTCCAACTGAGCTGTCACTCCCCCCACCCTGAGTGTGAGAGCGGACGCTCACATGTGCACTCACTGCACATGCACACGCACACACGTGCACTCACAGCAATGCGCACGCAACACATGCACACACGCACACACAAACACACACGCACACTGATGCAACAATGCACAGTCAATACAAGCACACACATGTGCACTCACAACAGGCACACGCACACACACGAACTCACAGCACATGCACATGCAACATGTGCACACATGCACACACTCATGCAACAATGCACACAACACAAGCACACACATGTGCACTCACAACACACACACACACGAACTCACAGCACATGCACACGCAACGTGCACACACATGCACACACACTCATGCAACAACGCACACTCAACAAAGCACACACACGCACACAATGCACTCACAACACATGCACACTCAACACACGCATGTGCACACAACACATGCACACATGCACACTCATGTAACATGCACACACAACACATGCACACACAAACATACACACATGCACACGCAACAATGCACACAACACAAGCACACACATGTGCACACATGCGCACGGTGCACTCATACAACATGTGCACACACTCAACATGTATGCACTCACACAACACGTGCACACACACACTTAACACAAGGACGGGCTCCTTGCACACTCCTTCGCAGCTGCTTTCACCAGTTCACGCTGCGTGGCTGACCTGGCCGCCTGCCCTGGTTACGGGGTGGAACACACACTTTTAACACAGGGACGGGCTCCCTGCTTGCACACTCCTTCGCAGCCGCTTTCTCCAGTTCACGCTGCGTGGCTGACCTGGCCGCCTGCCCTCGTTACGGGGTGGAGGCCATGAGGGCTGCACTCGACTCCACGGGGCTGCTGCGCGAGCGTTCGCTGTTCTGGCCGCCCGCACCCAGACCGGCGTCTGCTTAGCCCCCGGCGCAGCCCTGCGTTTCTGTGCCAGCTTCTGGTTTTCCCGTCGCTGAATCACTTCATGGCTCAGCAGATCCGAGGGGAGCATCTTTTTTTCCTCTAAGCCACCAGCCAGAACAGCAGTGACTGCTGGTTGCCGAGTCCGCCGTGGGGCACCTGGGTGGCTGCTTGGTGGGGACGAGTCAGGCCCGTGTCCCTCCGTTCTCGGGGCCGCTCAGCGTGTGAGGGCTGCGTCTGGGGCTCCCCGCAGCGCAGCGGCTCTGGGGCTTTGCAGTGCCTGGTCGTCTGGTGCTGGGCCTCGGTCCCAGTCCCAGTGGGGTGGCCTGTCCCGCATTACTGTCAGGGCGCACCGAGGACGCCTTGTTCTCAGCAGCTGCGTTTGCCGCCGTTTGCGCGTGCGTGTCTGTGTGTGTGTTTGGTCACATATACGCCTGTGGCCTTTTGAAAATACATTTCTAAACTTCCATGTTTATGGCAGGGCAGGTTTATTTAGCACCAGTGACGTTGCCAGTTCCTCTGTTTATTCTCACTCACGTGCATCTCCCAGATAATGACACAAGCGCCTAGGGAGAGAGCCCCCGACCCAGCCCTGGGCACCACGTGGGGTGAGCGGGCAGCGGTCACCCGAGGGTTTCAGAGAAGCTTCGTTTGACACTGTGTTCGACACATGTGACAAGTAGCGGTGTACTAACTGCACAGCAGGAGAGACTTGTCACCAGGCCCCTGGTTTGATGGTGGAGCTGGTCCCTTCTAATGCGGGGGGCGGGGGCGGGGCGAGAGACAGACAGACAGCCGGGGCGGGGGCGGGGAGAGACTATAAATAAGAGAAGCTTCTTACAAATAAGAACTGTTTTAGGAAGAAAGGAGAATCGGAAAGGAAGGGCGGTGATCGTGAGCGTCGGTGCGCGCTCACCGATCGGGCACTGATTTCCAGACAGGAATCGGTTTCTTCCAAAATTTACAAAAGAGGGAGAATTGGAAATGCTCGCTAATCCTGTCGTCTTCATCTTGTAACCGGTCACGTTGTGTTTCCAGGAAGGAGTTAGCGTCCCACCCCGCAGGGAGGGGTTCACCGCCGTAGACGCCTCTGAAGCCAGAGGTGGGGAAGCTAAACACTTCTAAAGTTCTTAACATGTGAGTGGAAAAGGTGACGGGGCTGAGGGGGACTAGCCCTCGGGGAGCGTGTGGCGTCTGAGCCTGCCGTGCCCCACCTGCCGCTGGCCACACGGGCCGCGGAGCACAGGGAGCCCAGGTGAGGCGTCGCCGCCATCGCGCCGTCTGAGGGCGAAGCGGTGATTTCCGGGTGCATCGGGTTAATAAAACGTGTTAAGTTGTTTCTGCACGTTCCTTTCCACTTTTTAACGTGGCCGCTGGAACATTCGAAGGTGCAGATGTGCGTGTGTTCCTGGCTCAGGTCGCGTTTCCCCTGGACAGGGCTGTCCCTGTGCCAAGGAGCCTCAGCTGGGAGGCGCTTTGCGACCTTGGGCGAGCCCCCGCCTTCGTGCCCTGGGGCAAGCCGCCGCCTTTGGGCCTTGCACCCCAGGAGTGAGCGGGAGGTGGCCTGGCATGCCAGCCCGTGCCCTGCCGGACCCTGGACGTCCCTGACTACGTGCAGTGGACACACGCCTAGTGCTCAGGCAGGGTCTGGTGATGAACCACCAAGCGTGTTAATGTTGTCATTAACAAATGTCCTGCGATGTCCTTTTACAGCACAGAAATGGACTTGCCACGCTGTCAACACCCAGGATTCAGGTGGGAGGGCTTCCGATCAGGGACCCCAGTTTGGGACCCTGGTTGCTGCGGCCCCCTGGGCCTCCCCAGGACGACTGTCGGCCTTTGGACAGGAAGGCCCGGCAGAGCCCGGGCGTGTGGCTACCCCAGGGAGCAGTCTGCCCAGCTGTCCCCCACGAAGCAGCCTCCGGGAGGGCCCGCTGGGTCCTGGGACTTGCTGCGCATGGGCCGGCTTCAGGGCTGGATCTCTCCGCCACAGGCGCAGGTGTCTGTCTCCTAGAAGAAGCTCCCTTGACGTGCTGGGTCACCTCGTGGTTCTCTGCCACACAGCGCCTTCCCGGCCGGCTCCAGGGCGGGCCGGGTCCCAGTGCAGCCGCCCTGCAGGCCTCCCCTCCGCCCTTCATGTCCTGAAAGCATTCGACTGGAGGTGCGGGCGGTGCCCTCCCCACGGCAGCTTGCGGGTGTCAGGTGAGCAGCATGTCACAAAAAGTGCGTCTCCAGCTTGGCCGCTCTCTGTGCTTCTCACGTTGTCCCCTGACGTAGAGGGGCCACAGCAGCCACCCCGTCCCCTGGTCGCCAGACTGGACGGTGCGGTCACAGCCCGGCCTGCGGCCCAGGCTCCTGTGCGGGGCTCCCCGTGCCCACTGGCCAAGGACAGGTAAGCCGGGCGTGGCCCAGTGCTGGGATCCGAGGGACAGCCGAGGACTTGACCTTGAGCGTGGACACGGGCTTGACCTTGAGCGTGGACACGGGCTTGACCTTGAGCGTGGACACGGGCCCGCACCAGCGCTCCACGCGCACGTCGGCGTTAGGGGCGTGTCTGTTTCTTCGTCCCTGCCCCCCCATCTTGCGTCGCCCGTAATGACTGAGCCGACAGTGATGCTTTACCCTTGCTCAGAAGGGCACCCTCTGTGCCCCGGCAGACGAAGCTCTGACGGGGCTGTGGTTTCACCTCCCAGCGAGCTCGCAGGGACCGGGGCCTGGGGACCATTAGCACACGCGTGAGAACTCAGTGTCCCCGGACCCCAGAACAGAAGGTTCCCCGACAGCCCGTGAAGAAACGGCTTTCAGCGGAATCTCGCCCGTGCTCACGACCGGCTGTTTCCTACCTGAGCTGACTGGAGGGAGATGCCGCCCTGCTCTGTGGGACCAGGGTCTGCGGGTGCGGGGCCAGGCTCCACCCGGGCGGGCGCGGGGACACCCCAGGGCTGGGCACGTGGGCCCAGGGTCGCCAGGTGTCCAGAGGCAGCTGTGGACTCCTGCTTCCATTTGCAGAAGGTTATCTTGGTCTTCGTTTTTTTCTCTATTTTTTAAAGTATATTTTTGTTAATTATTTTTCCTAGGAGTTTGTGCTTTTAGCTACGTTTTCAAGTTTTTTTCTATAAAGCTGTTCCTAACACCCTCTCATTTAAAACATTCTGCCCGTCTGGCCACGCCTCACTTCTTTCCCGATGTCCTTTACGCTCCTGTGCTGGCATGCTGGCGCTCCCTCCC